GAGCTAAACTCTGCAGGAAAGTAGACCTCGAGGGTCAGAGTTGAGAACCCCTGGTATATAATAATTTATTAGTGGGGTTAAGTGTAAATGATCAGGCTTGCGATGTGTACCACCTGAGGGCGCTCCATACCACAGTTTAAATCCACTGACTTAAGATTTGCAGTGTGTACCTTCTTTTCTGCACGGTATTCATCCCAGGCTGCTCTGCGCTCTTCCTCGCTCAGCTCCTCTTCTTCCCGGTGGCCTAACAATGAGTTGTGCTCATGATAACTTACTATGAGCTGCCCACAGCTCTGCAGCAGCTGGACCAACATGTCATCCTGGAAGACAAAACCTTACTGTCATCTGTGTGTCTGTGTTCTGTGTGTACCACAGCAGGGCCATTTTTGTGTGCTTACTGCAGGCATTTCTGTGTGTTTACTGGGCCGTAGATCTGGCTGTAAGCAGTACAGCTCATTCAGCTGTCTGTGTGTGAAGTGTCTCTGAATCTGCTGCTGGTCCAGAACACGAGAGGACAGAGACTGTTTAGCAACTTGCCGCTTATAAATGTTCTGTTCCATCGTCCCCTACGCCCCCCAAAAAAAACAAAACAAAACAAAAAACAGCCACATTAAAAATGTAAGAAAATAGCTTCCCATATAGTATATGTTAAAGCTATAAAAATTAATGTGAAAAATAAAATAAAAACTTATATGAAATAAAAAATAATTAAAAACAAAATTAAGACATTCTTTAATCAATAGTAAAAAAATCTTCTTGAATAGGTTAACAATGACAAGTCCTCCCAAGTATCTGTCATTTTTATGTGTATACCTGGGCCAGAAAACGGTACACGTATACAGTTTTTTTCTGCCCAAAGCGATAGACTCTGAAGATGCTCTGGATGTCATATGACGGATTCCAGCAAGCGTCAAACACCACAACCCGGTTTGCAGCGACCAGATTGATTCCCAGAGACCCCGCGCGAGTGGAGATCAGAAACAACCGCCCTCTGACATAGAGGAAACAGCAAGAGTCAGGACAAGAAATGCAGACAACTTAAATGTGATGCTGATGAACTTTTTGAGTGTACCTTATGTTTTTAGTGTTGTTAAACTCTTGAGCCCATCTCTTGCGAGCACAAGCACTGATGTTGCCATCCAAACGATAATAATCTTTATTTTTAACCCACGATTTTTTCCCTGACAATACACACGCACAAAAAAAACACTATTGCATAACCATGGAAAATGAAAAAATGACATTTCTAACATTCTCCTGTATAAACTCTTCATTTACCTTTGTATGGACAACATTTATTCCCCCTGGTCTCATCTGCATACAGGAGGAAACTCTCAATAAGGTCAAGCGTTATCAGAGATTGGCTAAACACCAACCTGAAAAAAGCAAACAGCATTCATAAAAACCTAGTGTGACTCTGAACATTGAACCTGCAATCATTTAATCTACACTACCATTCAAAAGTTTGGGGTTGGAATGTTTTTTTTTTTTAATGTTTTTGAAAGAAGTCTACAATGCTCATCAAGGCTGCAATTATTTGATCAAAAATACAGTAAAACAGTAATATTGTGAAATATTATTACAATTTAAAACAACTGTTTTCTATTTGAATATTTTAAAATGTAATTTATTCTTGTGATGGCAAAGTTTTCTATCACTTTCTGATCAATTTGAAAGTATTAATTTCTTTTTAAAATATATTTTGAACGGTGGGTTATATGAATATAACAATCAATGCAAAGCTTATAAAAAGTGCTACTTCTATTCAAGAATCTTTTCCTCACATTTTGTCCTGTAGTTCCTCTGCCCAGTGTAAAATCTCCAGCGCTGCGTAGCCTCCAAACACCAGGTTAACAAGGACCCACTCCTGTGATCCAAGGTGCTTGTTTGTGGTTGTGTAACATAGTAAGGGTTGAATGCAAGGTGTACTGGGTTAGAAAATGTCTATCTGTGTTTTATGTGAGAGCAAAGATTAAGAATCATACTCTGCAAAAATGGAGATGCATAATATTTGGAGAAAGCTATCTGTTATTCTCATTCATCTTGCACTTGGCACTTGTTTCACTCATTTTGGCTCATTTTCAGTTATATTAGCTGGCAGAACATTTTCTGTAATATAATGAGCTATTTTTTGCTTTATGCACTACAGTTTAAAAGTTTGAAATCTTTTTTTTTTTCTTAATGCCTTTGAAAGAAATCTTATATATTCACCAAGGCTGCATTTATTCAATCAAAAATATAATAAAAACTGAAATATTATTAAATAGTATTACAATATAAAATGTAATTAATTTTTGTGATTTGAATATTTTAAAATGTAATTTATTCTTGTGATGGCAAAGTTTTCTATCACTTTCTGATCAATTTGAAAGTATTAATTTCTTTTTAAAATATATTTTGAACGGTGGGTTATATGAATATAACAATCAATGCAAAGCTTATAAAAAGTGCTACTTCTATTCAAGAATCTTTTCCTCACATTTTGTCCTGTAGTTCCTCTGCCCAGTGTAAAATCTCCAGTAGCAACTGCAATTTCCCAGAATGCTCCAGCACTTTGGCATCAGCCGCTGTTACAAATGGCAGATACCAGTCGGCAGATGGCCCATTACCCACAACAAATCCTGAACAATAGACAGAGAGAGACACTAAGAATGAGACAGACATAAAGACAAAGAGAGGCAGATTAAAGGAGAGAGAGAGAGACTGTTTTCCCACCAGAAATTTCCATTGTGGCTGTGTTTGTGACATCTGGATTTTGTGGATTTTGATTGGACCCGCTGACCAAGGAGACTGGATCAGTATTTCTCTCTCCATCACCCACTAAACCTGTGCTTGTTGCCTCTCTCCTGTGAGACAGACACATTGGAATCATAACCATCAGAGGAAATTTGGTCTTGTGTGGAGGAGACTTAAGACTTCTAGCAGATGTCTCATTGGTTCCACATAACTGTATATTATACATCAAGTATGTTCTGACTGGCTGTGATTGTGTCACGTATCCAGGGCCGGCTCATCCAGGGTGAGCTCAACTGCCGCTCTAGACAAAACCCTACCATGCCGCCCCCACTTCACATTCACAATTAAACACAATATTTAAGATGCATGTGAAAGACTGGAGATTTTGTTTATTGGTACAACTGCATTAAAATAAAGCAGACATGAGCGCGTTTTCTGATTATTATATATTTTTCCTACTGCAACGTAAAAAAATTAATTAATAAAAAATAACCACTAGTATAGCTGCAAAAGCAAATTATGTGTATGTACAGGCCTGAAGTGGCCATGGGAAGATTTGGGAGAATTCCCGGTAAGCAGCTCGACAAACGTTGTTCAGGACACGGAAACCACAAGTCTCTGTAGTTCATTTTCACTAAGAGACATAGAAATCTGTTCAAGCCGTGCTCGTACAGCCAAAATCCCTATTCGTAGTCAGGGTATAATTTGAACAAGCTGGGTCCGGGTAAATCCGTGTATCATTCGATCATTCGTTTTTTGATTTAATATTGAAAGTAGAAAAATTAGAAAACGGGTGTGGAGGAGACTTAAGACTTCTAGCAGATGTCTCATTGGTTCCACATAACTGTATATTATACATCAAGTATGTTCTGACTGGCTGTGATTGTGTCACGTATCCAGGGCCGGCTCATCCAGGGTGAGCTCAACTGCCGCTCTAGACAAAACCCTACCATGCCGCCCCCACTTCACATTCACAATTAAACACAATATTTAAGATGCATGTGAAAGACTGGAGATTTTGTTTATTGGTACAACTGCATTAAAATAAAGCAGACCCGGGCGTGTTTTCTGATTATTATATATTTTTTCCTACTGCAACGTAAAAAAAAAGAATTTAATAAAAAATAACCACTAGTATAGCTGCAAAAGCAAATGAAGTGTATGTACAGGCCTGAAGTGGCCATGGGAAGATTTGGGAGAATTTCCGGTAAGCAGCTCGAACACGGAAAGCACAAGTCTCTGTAGTTCATTTTTACTAAGAGACATAGAAATCTGTTCAAGCCGTGCTCGTACAGCTGAAATCCCTATTCGTAGTCAGGGTGTAATTTGAACAAGCTGGGTCAGGGTCCAGCACCTCCGAATTCCGATAACCTCATTTGGCGGACCCCCCTCCTCACGCACCATTGAAAGATGTTCGTGTCAGGGTTATTATAGTTTTGCATTTTTAAATTCATTTTTATTTTAATATCGCTTTCAATTTTCTTTTATTGGTTTCATGAATAATTTTGTTAATTTTAGTTTAGTTTTTATTTAGCGAACAGATTTATAGCCTATTTAATTTTTATACAGTTTAGTTTCAGTTTTAATTTTAGTTTTAGTAATTAAAGTTTAGCAGAATTAACAGAACACTTCCAGAGCGCAGACCAAAGACATTTTAATTTAAGCTTATTGAGGCAAACCTCTAGCGACAAAATTAAAGCATGCTGAGATTGATTAAAAAACGATTATTTATTTTTGATTATTATTTTTAGTTAGGTGTTCAATAACTGCTGTTGGTTTCGTTTCGTTTTAGTTTTTCATTTATTTTGAATTTTTTTTATCTTTCTTTCTTTCTCTAAATGCCTTTTAGTTAAATACAGTTCTTAATACAACATATTTTACCGTTTAAACATGTATACAACATTTCTTACATTTAAACTCGTTTAACAAGCATTTTAGAAGTAAAAATGAAACATTTAATCGTCGCAAAAAGACTGATGTGTCTTGTTTAGGTGACTTGGTTTGCTTAGCATAAAATAAAATGATTTACAGCAAAGAAACTGTTTTACAGATTAAATAAAACATACACAAACCTATATTTGACCAAAGAAATGCAAGTCGGCGGCACTGAGAATGCTCTCACCTGAAGAGAATGCAAAATATCTGCGCTCATTACAAACACTGGGTTGTTGCGACTCTCCTGTCCCAGGAGCTGGGTTACACAAAAACTACCCAAACACAAAAAAAATGTTGCAATAAAATAACCATGATATTTTAGAGTATATGCGCATACTATAAAAGCAACTGATGCAAGCTGGTAATCACTTAAGTGGGTCCAGTAAATGATTGCGCGAATGCTCCATTACCTCTCCATGCTCTGATCACTTGATCACTGATCACGCTTTATTCCGGGACCTCGCAATTTACAAATTAAACACTGTTCGTAGCGTTATAAATGATAAAGGCTTAATATCTAGGCTACCTGCTAAAAAAAAAAATACGGTTTTGGTCCAAAACCATGTTTTGTTTTGTTTTTTTGGATGTATCCACCTGTGTCTCCCCCACATTTTCTCTCACAGTAGGCTATAATCTTACCGTTCAGAAGCGCGTGTCGGGCTTTAAAACTCATCAGACATCACCAGTAGCAAAGGTCATTCATGTCCGGATAGTTTTATTAATTTTGATGACATTTATGGAAGTACATGAGGGTGGTTTGCATGTGATATTGACGCCGCTCAGGTGGGGCACAGCGCGGGAGCGGCATTACTATGAAGCTAAGTTAATTTAGAGTTAGAATAACTAAGGGGTGATAACTTGTTGATATGAGTGCAATAATTCCAAAGAATGCCCAAAAGATAAACTAAAATCTCTGTCCTTTTTGCCGCCCTGACTGTGCTGCCGCCTTAGTTCGCCTATATGCACGCGCCGGCCCTGCACGTATCAGTCTCACATTTACCAATTGCTTCCAAAACAAAATATTCTATAATGCTTTTAATTTACATTGTTTACAAAGACAAATGTCTTTTTGTTCTTCAATTCAGAGTTACTCTAGCTTTGATGTCTGATATTTTACAAAAGCATGAAGCACATTAGTGGTACAGGAAATATTCAAATCTGATAAGAAACACAGCATACCCTTCAGAGTCATACCCTACAGAATCGCTCACCAAACCTGCACCCAGACCTGTGAAGACAGGAGCAGGCTCTTCCTCTTTCCCCTGCATCACACACAGAAATACAGTAATCAGATTTCATGTCATAATTGATGGAGAAAAATCAAGTGACCATTGACAGGATGTTTGTAAAAATGAGGCAAGATGTGTATACGCTATCATTATGGGTCGGTAAGATTTTTAAATGTGCTGTATTTCTGTGTGTACAGTACAGTAACTGCAATAACAGTAACTGCAATAACGGATTTATTACTGACATACTGTGCATATATGTGAAATATTATTCCAATTTAAAACCTTTAAAACTTTAAAACATTTTTAAACTTTAAATGGTTTTTCAACAGCCATTATTCCAATCTTCAGTGCCACATGCTCCTTCAGAAATCATTCTAATTTGCTGATTTGGTGTTCAAGAAACATTTCTTATTATTATTGTTGAAAACAGTTATGCTGCTAATTATTTTTTTGTGGAAACTGATACATTTCTTCTCAGGATTCTTTAATGCATAGAAAGTTCAAAAGAATGACATTTATTTGAAATAGAAATCTTTTGTAACATTCTAAATGTCTTTACTGTCCCTTTACATTAATTTAATGTGTCCTTGCTGAATAAAGGTATTCATTTCTTAAAAAAAAAAAAAAAAATCTCGCTGACCCCAAACGTTTGAACGCTAGTGTTATCTGGATGAGTGTATGTATGTACCTTATTCCTGTTCAGCTGAGCAAGTTTAAGACACCAGGGATGGGTCCATATCAAACTCAGAACATGAAGGTCCTGAAACAAATTGTTCACACCTACTCCTTTCCCTAAAACAAAGACAATATTTGGCTCAGTGTATGCTAGTTAGGTGGTATGACAAAAATCTTAATGTGATGTTGCAAAATCTGTTATATAAGAACCATTAAGCAATTGTAAGCCATGTCAGTATATAAGGCTATTTTTATGCAATACTGGATTAATATATCACCCAATTATACGATATTTGTGAATGCTCATTTCTCCTGTTTTTACATTTTTACATTATCTTTGTCACCATCTAAAGTTGACTTATGGTTAATTTCCACAACATAATTTAATAACTCTGTTAAATCTCAAAATAAAAATACATTATAATATTATTGTACATTATAATTATATGATGCCTATATTTTTATTTGCAACATTTACAATGATTTTAGTTTTTAGTGTTTTATTTTTAATTTATTTAGAAAATAAATTGTATAGAAATTTAATATCAGCCATACCTTGAAAAGAACTACTGGCTTAATCTCTACAGGCTGACACATTTCTACTGGTGCAGTACTTTTTAAGCTCTAGTTTGTGCTTGTGAGACTCTGACCTGTGTAGTTCTGCAGATAGTGTGTGTATAACTGACACTGCAGAGACGTCATCCTGACTGACAGCACATACTCGTGCTTTGGTGGCAAACAGGCCATCAAGACTGAGTAGTCCCGCCTCTGCAACACAAACACAAATCATTTAGACTTTTTTTTACGGCTTTTAGCTCTATTTCTTTCTCTCTCTTCATCACCTGTATGAATCCTGACATTAATTGATGGAGGATGTGCGATCTATTCTTCATGAGTCTGACATCAGCAGGGGTGGAGTCTGCGCACTGACCGTTCTGAATTGGATTAATAAAACGGTTCCGGAACTCCTTTAGAGAGCCCAGCAGATTCTCCTTAATGAAGTTCACCATGCAGTGATCTAGAACAATAAACAAAAAAGAAATAAATAATACACATTAGGGCTGTCAAAAAAAAATCCACATTCGAATGCAAAAACGTTGCATTCGAATTTTAGGTGTGCGTCAGGCAGCCTTATCAGTGGCGCACGAAATGTGACGACGATGTAAGTGTCATTGCATTTTAATGCTTTTGTTAGCCTGTCCATTTGAACCCACTAGATGTGGCGCTGCTACGTTGTTCATTCAATATATTGCAGAAAATAGAACAATCAATGCGGGGAAACCGAAACCAAGCCATTCACACAGAACGCATATTTATTGCATTTTCTAGAGGGACTATCACCGTTGCACTCGCGTCTTGCACAAGAGAGCCGCATGTTTAGAAAGCTATGTAAAATTAATGTAAGTTAAACTTTTAGGAGTTTTGCATTACCGCCACCTATCTCTCAAATGGACCATTGACACTC